CGGATCGGTGGGTCACAGAATTCGTAAACTAAGCCGATTTTGGAGCCTCAACCCACGGTCTATATGAGAAATAGTCTGTATTTCTCTTTTTTTTTTTAAATTCTTTTGCGTAAAACTAAAATTTATGGCAATATTTTTCCATGATTTATAATAATTGGAGTAATGCATATATGCATCTTTTCTAAAAAAAATCTGTTTTAAGTGAAATTTTGCCGGGAATGGGGCTTTAAAGTTCAACCTCTACAATGACATGTCATGCGATTCACTTCACACGGATGTTCCACTGTATGTTGCACGAAAGTGTTAGAGATTCATGATTCTTCTATGGAGGAGAGACTCTAGATTACACAATCGATTCCATTTTCACCGCAGGCGGCGACAGACAACAACAAGAAAAATCGTAGTACTGTACTGAGTAATGGCATTCTTTGGTAGAGAACGAGTTGATGAATTTTACCATCATAAGCGATCAAATTCCAAAGTATTTGGCCCAATGCCATTCTTCAGGCTTATAACATTTTTTATTGAATTGTTTGTGCTCTTTCAACGAATTTGGCTTTCCGTCTTTAGAGTTATTTGGAGACTTTTTTTCTCAGCCCCACTTAAAGTTGTCGACGGTGAAAATGTTTTGGTGACCGGGGCAGCGAGCGGTCTCGGCCGCCTACTCTCTCTGGCATTTGCCCAACTAGGGGCTAACATGATACTGATAGACATCGACGAAAACGGTCTCAAAGAGACCGAAAAGGATGCGAAATATTTTGGGAAGAAGGTTCATTATTACGTGTGTGATCTTAGTCAAAGAAGTGAAATTTATAAAACGGTTTCAGAAATCCAGAAGGACTTTGCTGGTGGTGTTGATTTTATTGTAAATAATGCTGGTATTGTGAGTGGTACCAACTTCCTAGATTGTTCAGATGAAATGCTTGCTAAAATATTCGAGGTCAATACGTTAGCATATATATGGGTAAGGATTAAAGTATTGACAGTGACTATAGTTATCCCAGTCTTAAATTCATATCAGACTAGGCCCTAGTCTAACTAGGGGCCTACATAATGTAAGGACTGCGCAGGAAATATATATAAAATTGGCCTAGAAATCTGTCTGCAGTTATTCCGAAAATTAGGCTTTGATCTAATCTTAATATATACACAATGTATTATGCAGTAATTACGATTCTGCGCACCTATTTTCCCTAGCGTCCAAATTTGAGCTGGTTTTTGAGGCATCAGAAACGCAATTAGAAAACTACGGTATGGAATGAGTAACTATTGTTTTGAATTGATATGTACAAACCTTAATTCTAATTTGGTGTTATTTCCCAATTTATACACAATATTATCCAATCAGAATTATGAATTGGTTTAAGACTGGTGTAACAACAGCCACTGCCTAAATTAAATACATTCGCCTGGATGCCAGTCAATTCGAGTGGATGTCAGTTCGAGTGGATGCCAGTTCGAGCGGATGCATTTAGTGCGAACTACAACAAGGGCGAATTTATGGTCACCCTATTTTTGTATTTGTTTTAAATGCAAAAAATGCTCTGTGCACTAAGGTTCTGAAATTTTTTTGGCACTTTTTGATAATTATTCCATGTTTGAAATACGCTAGAAAGCACTTAGGCCCTATATTTTAAAACTATAGAATTTTGCACGTAGAATTCACGGTTTTTGTCTCCAGTTAGTGGAATTATATAGTGTTGAACTTGTAACAGTATTTGTAGATTTATGATTTAGTCCTACAGTATATTTGTAAATGGGAGTAACTGTAAATGTAATTTTTATTCACCATAGAATTTTAAATTATTTTTATGTATAATATGGTATCAGAAGGTGCACAAATCATTGGTGCAGTAGTGTGACACAGGGGCGGATCCAGTGACGTGTAGGGGGCACAGGGAGGCACGTGCCCCCTCGTCTTGCCACTAAATTTTAAAAATGTCAGTGCATATTAATGTTATGTGCTACTCACTTTAACTATTTCTGAAACTTGTTCTCCCATCCCACCGTTTGAAAAATTCTGGATCCTCCAGCCCCTGTGACAAGACTACCAACAGCACAGTAATAGACATCATACCAATTTTCTCCACTATTCAGGCAAAGCCTGAGCCTTGGCCGAATGCAGATTGTTAGTACTGTATAGCTCAAAATAGGAAATTTTAAAGTAATTCGTACATAACTCCCTCAAACTAGCATCCGCTCGAATAAATTCCACTCGAACTGGCATTCGCTCGAAGTGACATCCGCTCGAATTGACTGGTTCCCCATTCCACATATGAAAGAGAACTTTGAATGATGGATATGTTTCAATGTACAAGAAAATAGATGAGGACATGCACATGGAGCTCCTTCCAAACAGTCAAAAACAGTGTCATTCTGTATACATATACCACCATGTAAGCACATAGCAACTTCTACCAAAAGTTAGGCCATTAGGTCAGCTACCATGCACTTCAAATACAGTGAAGAACAAGTGGGATACAACCCTATATACCAACTGTACCATTGACTGAGTTATTCTGTAATACTGTAAATAATCTCTTAGCCTATGCTTTAAAGGTTTACTTTTAAAGATATTATTGGATTTTGTTGTTCTTTTTGACTTAGATCACAAAGGCATTTCTTCCTAACATGTTAGCCAGGAACCATGGACACATCATAAATGTTGCTAGCACATCCGGATACATTGGAAGCAATGGTTTAATCGACTACTGTACGAGTAAGTTTGCCACTGTGGGGTTTTCAGAAGCGATGCAGTGTGAACTACGTAAAATCAGGAGAACGGGCGTAAAAGTAACTGTCATTGCTCCATCCTACTTCAAATCTGGAATGTTTGCCGGATGCACGTCAAGGTATTTTATGACCACCAATTGTTAATCAATGCGACATTGCAATTGATATTTTATTATTTTTATTTATTAATTATATTTATTTTATAGTTGGATAGATAGATGGATTTATTTGGTGTAAACACCAATTATAACCTAAGAAAGTCTGAAGAATACTTACTTTCAGTGGGGTCCTTCTGGTGGTGATTGGGCAGTATATCAGGAGACAATCCCCCTACTCATTTTAGAAGAGTGTACTGCATTCTTTAATGTGTGCAATTGGCCATAATGCACACGGGACCAATGGCTTAAACGTCTCATCTGAAAGACGGTGTGACATTGTAACTTGCATTTCAGTCCTCCAACTGAAATAGCTGCGATGGGAGTTAAACTGGGGAACAAGCGATCTTCACGTTTCAGTGCACACACAGTGGCTACCACCAGTTTAGCTGTCTGAGCTAACCTACCCTCTTTTTGAATTGCAAATTGTCACTGCCTACATATTTGGATCATGACGATATAAGTAAAACTTATTCCACAATATAGATATTGTTGATTGTCTTCAGATTTCCAAGACCATTGAATCTGGATTCAGCAGTGACTACCATAATGAAGGGTATATTGAGAAATGAGGAAGTGATATTTGTACCCTGGTACATGCAGTATATGCCTCTTCTCAAAGCGTAAGTATATTACCAAGTTTCCATTATTTATATTTAACACAAGATTCATTTCAAAAAGATTAATTTTCGTTCGAGAAGCTATATTTTCTGAGTTAATCTAATTGCATAACTTAAGATGCTTCACTTGTCAATGTATCAACTTTTCCGTCCAACTTATACTTCCTTTTTTTATTAAAAATGTAATGTGGAATTGTAAACAGGATTAATACTAATATATGATCATGGCCAATTAATTGTTTTTATATTATATTATAAATAAATTGTTAGAGATGCAGACACTTCAAATAGAATAGTCATTCAATTCTAGAACATTTACTTTACAGTACTCAGTAAAATAAATGTCTTTACTATCACTTCATTAGGAATTGACCATTATATTATTAGGAATTGACTATTATATTAGGAATTGACCGTTTTATTAGGAATTGACCGTTTTTAGAGGTGTTTATCACCTGGTTGGTCCTTTCTGACACTGGAAGTTTGTACTGTCCAATTTTTTTGTTCGTCCTTTTATCTTTCATGTAACATACAATTTTTAAAGTGTGAAGATGTATAAATAAAAGAAGTAATATTCACTATTGTTTTCTAATATGAAAAATTTCAACTTTCAATGTTTTTTTTCTCCTTAAGACTTCTTCCTGTACGAGCACTATTTGCAATTCTTGATTTCATCGGGACCACAAACTTCATGAGTGGCTACAAAGACAAAGATTGATGATACTTTGCGGTCAATCCTTTGTTGAAGGTATAAATTTTAAAGTTTGCTGTACTGATTATATATAGGTGGACAAGATCAAAGGATGTGTATGGGAGGGGGTTGAAATTGCTACTAGGCATTTCACAATGTAGGTAATACAGAGAAATCAGTTCATTTATTAACCATTCTCATATTTTCTTTAATTTTTTATTTTTTCCAATACTTTATAGTATATTTAAAATATATTTTAATATCTGTAATTAGAAATTAAGATTTTACATAAAAATTCTTACATTGTTTTCTGGCACATTCAATCTATTTTCTATCATGAAAATTTAATTTGCTTGAAATATTTTATACCAAAAAGACTTGTTATACAAGTTTTCTCTGTATTTATTTGAGAAGTTGGGATAAAAAATAAATGTGGATTATATTATAAAACATAGTATTATAAAATATAATTGGGATAAAAAATGATGGTGCACATTTTTTCACTTCGCAAAAAGTAGAAACAGTTCAAACTACCGATCTCTGATTGAAATGTGAAAGGGCATGCGCATGAACCAACCCTTTGGTGTGAAATAACCTTAAAATCACTGTAGCTGTTATCTGCAGTAGATTTGGGTGCTGATGAATGTGGGTTGATAATGGTTCTTTTCCATTGGGTTGCATTCCTGAGGGGAGGAGGTGATGGAACATATTCTGACTCCTATGTTAACAATTGTATACAGTATGCCAGTACAATCATCCACAGTGCATCCTCTAATTCGAGACTCTAATTCTGAGACCCCTCTAATTTGAGACCACTTTTCCAAAGATCCAAACAGCCATCTTCAGCTTTTTAACACAAAGCTAGCCCTCTAATTGGAGACTAACCCCGACACCACCCCCAAATATTCAGGTCCCAAAGGTGGTCTTGAATTGGAGGGCGAACTGTACTTTGTGGGGGTTTTCTTTTATGTAAAAGTATTGTAAATAGACCCTCTGAAAGCTTGTTTGCCTCTATGGGTCTTCCTTTTTAGATAAAAATACATTAGGAACAAAGAAGCTTTCAGGTTGTATCATGTTTGTACATAAAAAAGTGTATTTTAGTAATACTTTCATAATACTGATATGTGTTGCAATAGTCTTAATTTAAAGAAATCTACATCTATATCATATCAACAAGACCAAATGAAATTCTTTGATGTGTTGCAGTAGTTTAGAAAATAGTTTAATAATTAATTGTAAATATTAGATTATACGGGTAAAGCAACCATTTACACTAGGCACGATAACGACATGACAATTGCATTGTTTATATTCTTCAACACTGAGGGCATTTTTGTTGTGTCATCGTCGTGTCATTATAGTGTCTAGGGTAAATGTAGCTTAATATAGTCCATGATACTTGCATTGTCCAACATAATGTATTCATTTGTCGATTACATGTACAGAATATATTAGTTTTAACAGAGTGTTATTGTAATTATTAAAAAATTATATTCTTCTAAATTGAGTGCAACCACTATAAATAAAGAAATATAATTTGAAATATACTTTGTATATTTATTAATGTGTCATATTGTTGTCCAATAGGAGAGTACAGTACAATTTTCTTCATGTATTTGAAAATAATTTTATTGCAATTTATCACATCCAATACAAATTGGCAATGAAATTACTTCGTGAAAACAAGCTGGGGTTGCTTGCAAAACAGAAGTGCCATATCTAGTGGTATTAACATGGAGTTGAGTCTGATGGTGCCATGAGTTTAAAAAGAGGCAGGTGCTAGCTGAGCTGGTGAATTCGAGTGATAATTTTAACTACTTGAGTGTACTTTTTTTTGCAAATAAAAGCAAATTTTTAGAGGGAGGGCTTCATGGGGTTTTCCGTGCAAAACTTTTCGGCTACCCCACATGATTGCTCTGGTAATTGGAAACAGTAGGCTTAATAATCATACACAATATGAAACATCTGTTCCATGTATGCTGAATTATTACATCCGTGCTCTGCTCCATGTGCAGTATTAGATAAGGCTTTTTTTATACCTTGTTTCGTGAACTTATTTTTTCAAAGATCGTCAGTGGAGGGCGGAGAAAAAATAAAAATAAAATTTTGTTTTCTTATAGCAAATAGGGTTTCGCCAAAAACATCAAAATGGAGAAGAGTACAGAAATAAAATTTCATTGGTGAATGTAAACAGTGTAGTAATGGGATGGTTAAATAATTGGATAATTAGGAAGAAATATACATATCTTATTTTTGGAGATTTCAAGGCAGCGGTGGGTGCCTAATAAAAATAAAGAAAATCTTTTATTTTTTTCAGAAATTTCCAGTTTTGATGTGGCGGCAGGTGCACTAATTGGCCAAAAACAGAATTTTATTTTTATTTAAAATCATCATTATTGGCGGGTTCGCTAAACCAGTGGTAGCATGGTAGCATTTTCCCCCTGGCCTGGACCCCCCCGTCTGAGGCATGTGACTAGGTTGTCAGATCAAAAATTAAAAGGATCATAATTTGCCTATTCAAATAAAGTTATTTTGATTGCAGTCTAAGAATATTTTATTCTCGGCCGTTGACTGAGGCTTCGTCGGCCCTTCGTTTGGGCCCCTTGTCGGCAATTTTCTGGCACTAAACAAGGTATAAAGGCATTTCGTCTTTACACAGCAGTGTTATTAATTTGGCCATGGTTTGACACGAATATTTTTGATATAGTTTGAATACACGAGCACCACACCATAAACAAATCCATGGATTATTCATAATTCACACTCTACCCGGTACCCATGGGAGGATCAAGAGTCAGACATACATTATATACATAATGAAATAGCATTGCCCAAGAACACAAAAAGTACAAGTTATGTAGCGCGATGGTAAGGCGAGACGTTTTTAATACCTTGTTTAGCAAACCCGCCGACTGAAAATATTGATGATTTCGAATAAGAATGTCATTTTATTTTTGGCCAATTAGTGCACCCGCCACCACGAAAAAGTGGAAATTTCAGAAAAAAATAAAATGTTTTCATTATTTTTATTACGCCCTCAGCTGTCTTGAAATCTCTAAAGATAAGATATATGGTATATATTTCTTCCTAATTATATAAATTTTAAGCATTTAACCATCCTATTTTATATTCACCAATAACATTTTTTTTTCTCCTCTGTCTGGATGATTTTGTCAAAACTAACAGTATTTGCTAAATAAGAAAACAAAATTTTATGTTTATTCCACCATCCACCAAAAATCTTTAACAAAAATTAAGTATGCGAAACAAGGAATGAAAAAAGCCTCGCCTAACTTTCATTGTGCATCATCCACCAGGTAGGACCTTACTTTAAAGTTTTCTCTTGCGACTTTTTCCGTAATTGGGACAAACATAGTAACTACCTGGCAAACACTCTGCTATCGTCGTCCTCCCTCACGAAAGATGGCTGCCGTGTTGCAATGTTACTAGGATTTCTGCTTTAAATTCATGGTACATTGACAGTTTATATAATTTTATTGGGTATGGTTATTCTTTTATACATTATTGATCTGTTAATGTGTGTTTATACGCTTTATAATGCGGAACTGGCCCACACGACTCACATAGCCATAGCCCGGCATAGGCTAGCCGCTTGGTTACAACATACCGTACTCACTCACCAAGGCCATTTGTTGTGCCATTAAACCTGTCAAGCTAGGCCGAGCCTAATCCCTTGTTTGTTAGCTACAGTAGGCCTGAGTTAATTGTTCTTCCACATTCTAACTTATAAAGAAATTTTCCAAAACAACCCGGAAGGTTGATCTAAAACCAGATACTTATATATATTCTCTTATTTATTGGAATAATGCTGCCAAGTTTTTACAACAACTTTTATTTTTGTGTAAAAAGTAATCAAAAAACACTCATCACTGGACGGACTGTGCTGTTGATTCCAGTTTCTTCACATAGCCAGTGCCAAATCAGGGAGTTGTTCAGATGCAAGACTACTAAATAGTAGTGAATCTATCAGCCCAGCAGATAGATAGATAGATAGATTTACTAGTTTAGGCACACTGATGCCAGACTGTAAAATAAGGCCTGCTGAGGGAATATCCTCTGCGCAAAAATTAGGCCTAATAGTCTGTCCACGCATTTTGAAATGTAAGATAAGGGCCGATTTCCGTGCAGATTTTGCAGAAAATTGGTCCCTGATATATTTACCTATTTTCCTAACGATTTTCCACGCAAATTGAGCTAGTTTTTGATGCGTCACTCTTGCAATTTAAGTACTTTATAGTGTGGCTGCTCTGATATACAGTAGTTGAACTGCAGGCCTAAGCCCTACAGATCCCAGCCTCTATTATCTATGGGCCTAACTAAATTTAAAATGAAAAATAATTGTTTATATCTTCAGGTAACGATTAGATTGATTTGATTTAATAAATTTTAGGCACCTATGGACCTTGCCAATGCCAAGTGAATTCATATCAAACAGCCTACTGTAATGTAAAATGCAGAGATTACAGTACAAAGCACGGATGTGCAGGTGTGAGACTTTAGTATGAAACCCCCTCCCCTGGTGATTCCAGCTAATGAAAGAACTACAAAAGGTCACATATTCTAATTATAAGCTATACTACATTTATGCATGAGATTTTGGTTCTTGAGAGTGTGAGACAGACCCCCAATTTGTGAGTCTCACCGAGTGTGTGTGACTTTGTATAAATTTTTGACTTTGTATAAATAATAACAATAATTTTTTAACAATAATTTAATCAACTAACATCCTGTGACAGAGATACAGCTCCAAAAAAGTTGCCAGTTTTGGAGAGGTGACAAATATTTCATATTTTAGCAATGGCAATCCTACTGTTAGTAAATGTAGCATCAGGATGAAAATGATTCTGGTTTGACTTGGGAAATACTCCTTAGTGAACATGAAGAAACTGTAACTTTACCATGAAATTCTTGGTTTACGAGCTATTGAATTTCAGTTGCACTTTCATACTGCAAACATTGTGATAGATTTGCAATAATTGACATAAACATCTGCTCAAGGTACTTTCAACAATGGTTATAATGTGTGTCATTTGCATGATACTGCAGTTATTTCAGTTGTTTTTAATGTAAAATCTAAGTTTAAGATGATAAAAAATTGCTAATTGTGAAGGATATGCAAGGGAGAATTTGGAATAGGTACTGTTTAGTTCAAACTTTGAACAAAGATTATTTCAAATTTTTGAAACTTGATAGATTTAATCAAGTGTGCATTTTATTTAATTTATTTATTTTATTTTTAGCATTTATATTACTACTAATTTCATTCCAAATCATTCACCTCCTACCAGGTAACTACATGTATTTATACTCCTGGGTGAAGAGAGGCAAATACAGTATAAAGTGTCTTGCCCAAGAACACAAGCAGTGTGACCAGCATCGATCTCGAACCCCCAACCTTCCGATTGAAAGTCCACCGGCTTTCATGCTGCACCACAAGCGTCCACATAACACTTCCATCCTTAGTTTATATTGTAAATGTTTATGGTTGGTAGATTTGCATTAAGTACTACAATTTTTTTTAAATTAACATATGATACAAGATAAATTATTTATCAGTCTTTATGAATTGAATTATTTTCTTGGTGACAATAATTTAACCAAACCTAAAAACAATGGGAATTGTAGGAACCAAATATTCAACATTATAAGAAAAAAAAATATTTGTTATACTGTTTTGGAGAAATGTTGAAACTAGTAGAATAAATCATTAAAAACTTGAGAAATATGTTAATATATAGCTTATTATATTTTAAAGTTAATGCATGGATTATATTATAAGGTTTAGACAATAAATAGTATCCAATTTTAAAAATTATATATAAAATATATTGAATAATTATTATATGTATAGCATCTACAGTTGAATTTTTGGGTGATTTTTGAGTAAATATCTGCTACTTTTACACTATAAGTGGAGCACTATGAGAATTACTGTAATACAGTAATATTGTATAGAGCACTATATAAATGCCAGCATGTTGTTATGGTTATATTGTTGTTATTGTTTCACCTATTGACAACTTTCCACACATAGTATTTCTATTTAAAGCATTCAATACTGTATCTGAAGTGAGGGCACCCTCTATGAAATAATCATGTCTCATCACATAGCAAAAAAATTAAAAAACGATCCAGCTGAAGATGTCTTAACACTGAGACATACAGGTTTAATTAGACAGATGAAGTAGTTCTGTACAACATGCCATGCTATAATTTGCAAAGCATTCCTTTGAGGAGCTGACTAAAATAGTAATAATAATATTTAATATAAACGTATTCTTGGTTTCTTGCTGTAATTCATTGTATGATCAATTTAATTTCAATCAATTCAATTCAATTCTCCCCAGAGGGAGACTTTATTCTGTATATAGGCCAACAGCCTTAAAACATAAACATTAGTGTGTCAAATAAAATGTTCGCTTCTTGTAAGCATGTACAATGAAATTGGCTAATGACTTAATCGTACTTGATTTCCTCGACTTGAATAACAAAACAAAGTAGAACATGTTTGCAATATAATTAGGAATAAAATGATTTCTTTCGTGATTATATAATGGGCATTTCAAAATAAAATGGTAGACGTCCTCTATTTCATTTCTATTGCATAGTCTACAAATACGTTCTGAGCGAGGCACATTCTGTCTCTTATACACATCTAGATGTGTATAAGAGACAGCTATATAGCGGGTACAGGGCCTAGGCCCTATTACCTCTTCTGTGAATAGGCCTATTTGTAAGCAACTACAATTTAATTTCTTTAAAGTATAAATATAATGATACTTGATACAGTTTTTTCCACTACATATCATCATCCTCTTGAAATCAGATGAACCACGATTGGCTAGTGTTTCCACTAAATGAGGAGGTAAAATGTCAACAAACTCCACGCAATGCTGAAGCAGCCAGTAGCATTTATTATTACGTGTCAAGCACCACAGTTTAGGTATTGTGTTTTGTGATAGCTATAGATCATCTCGGAACCATATGTTGCATTCACAACCTCTGCAGTGAGAAAGGAAGTTCTACCGTTTGTCTCTAGGCTGCCTAGCCTGTGTTCCTACAGAGATTGGAGCAAACGTAGCAGACAAGCAGAGGCAGAGGAAAATGATTTGTAGGTGTATAGTCGTTGGATGTATTTATCTGTAAGAAGCAGTCAGTGGTTGTTTTTGCTATGTGTTAATTGCATCATTTTTCACTCATAATGTTCATAATTGCTGTTGGTGGCTGTCCTGTCTACATGTTTTTAGTTTAATTATAATTAGAATGTTTCATGGAGTGGATTTGCTGTACATTACTGTATGAGTCAGCAGATGCACTGGTTATTTGCATTGTTTGAGAGCTTGACGTTATCATGTGCCTTGATCCAATGATATTCTCAGTTTGCATCTACTTGGTACTACAGTACATGTTCCATGTGGTGCATGGCAGAGTGTACACTCTGAATGACCTTGGCTACTGGTAATTAATTAAGTTGTTATCAAGAGGAAATGCTGATATACAAATTGTTATGTTTATTGAGTGTCTAAAATTGATGTTAAATTTCATAATTTTAAAATGTTTTCTGTGTAGATTGTGTTTTTTTATTGCTGAAATGAATATAATAATTAAATTACAATATTAGAAAACATGTTACAATGTCTAAATACATCATTAATTTAAATATCCTGTAACTATATACCTTATTTATTTATATCTAAATCTATTATTTATTTATATCTAAATCTATTGTTATATTGTTGTATAATATATTAATGTTCTATCTCAAAATAATGAATCTTCCAGAGTAAATGATTATAATATTTAAATTATTGTTCTTATTATTCACATTATTATTGTTTAGTATTTATTCTGTAAAGCGAATGTATAAGATTTCCTGTAATACCCACACTATGTTTGTGAGCCTCATGTGTTTTTTTTTTTTTCAATTATTTAACATTAAACATGTTATCGGATCATTTGTTTTTGACACCTGAAACGAAATGAAAATCGTAGCTTACATTTTCTACTGCAAGTCAATGAACTCTGCATGTGTAATAGGATGTCTTAGGTTTCTTTGCAATGAGTCGTTCTTCCTGAGTATATATGATCGCCGTTTTCAAGCAATTTTTACCCTGTACCAATGACGCACGAGTTGGACGGATTATCTACCTGATTCTCCTTTTATTTGCCGATCCTGTCGTATTCAGTTTTGCAACTTTTTTTTTTCTTGGTAATTGGTAACCTTTATATAACGCTTATATGCTGTGCTTTCGTTATCCGGTAAGAATCAACATGGCGACTTCAAACTGGTACTTTGAGTTGGATGGTACAGTATTTTTGCCTATTGTTTAATTTCACTAATTTTTTACCCTTGTAGATTAATAATGTGTTTGGCATGATATGGATAGAGTCTAAGGGATGGGTATAAGAAGATGGTATGAGTTTAAGAGAGGAGAAATGAATTGGCAGTGGGAATGATCGTAGGATGTTTAGGTTTGTTTAGTAATAATACAGTAGGATCTGTAAGGATATCTAGGTTAATTTTTAGATCTGTGGCCACGAACTGCTACCATTGAATTTCATGATGGCTTTCAAATGCATGAATTATTTAATTGATTTATTTAATTTTTCTTGTTTTGGTTTGGATTTTTCATTTGCCTGAAATATACTGTAATTTGCTTTCATTATGTGCTACATTAGTCCACCTTCTAAGTTCAAAGGTTCGGAATGGAAATTTTGAAAGTATTTTTTTATTTTTAATGTATATTGAAGTAAAACTAAATTGCATTGTCAGCATGGCTTTAACTGGACTACTGTACTAGTATTTTATAAATATTATGGTTCCCTCGTATTAGCTAATATTCCCCTCCCCCCCCCCACTATTCCCCCCCCCCCCCCCCCACCACATCTTCTTGACCCAATTTTGATTAAAGAAGTGTACTTTTAACTGAGAAACTACGATTATCATTTCATTATTGATATAGTAATTTCGACTGCACCTGATGAAGCCAGCATAGACAGCTGGCAAAAGCTTGTGTGAATAAATACTATAGTTCATCAATAAATTGCTACCAGTATTTAATTTTAGATATTTAGCTACAAATTTATTCTCGTGTGCCTTTCATAGGTAATATTTTAATGGGAATTCAATTGAATTTTATGTCTAGACACTGGTAGTAAAAATTTGTGTTACTTATATATTTTAAGTAACAAAATGTATCAATTTGCAATTTATAGGTTGTAATGGCCATTCCAAAAGTTCAAAATTATCTTTTAATCGTTTTCTGCATATAAATACATGTGATATATATAGAACAATACGGTACTCATCATTGAGATGATGTACATGCAGAAACCCTTACAAGATAAGATTTCTATTAAAGAAACCGTTTGTCTTGATACATATAAATGTAAAAAAAATTAGTATTGTTTGTACTTTTTATATTATTAAGCTTTCATAAAATATTTAGAAAACCTGTCCTTCCAAATAAACAAGACACATGAGTAATATTGTATTTATTTGCACAGCTGTATAAATTCTAATAATGTATGTGTGTTATCATTGGAAAGTACTGTAGTAATAATTTTAATTTTTTTTAAATTTTTTTTAATTTTTAAAGGATATATTTTTTGAAAGAAATTATTATTAAATATGAAAAAAATACTATTGTTTGTTTTCTTTCCCTAGCCAAAGAATTCCATGCCATGGAGTTTGTTGAGTTCATTAAGACCCCAAAAGTAGACAATGTGGTGTTACACAAACCGTACCAACCACGCGTCGAGGGAACACTATGCTTAACAGGCCACCACCTCATCCTCTCATCAAGAAAAACAAACACAGAGGAACTCTGGGTAAGTTGTCAATCAATACTATCTCTCTAAACAGGATTTAGTGAATTCCAAATACTATGTACAGTAAATTGTAAATGATTAGTGAAAACCATTTATGGATATTGTATGTTTTTTTTAAAGAATATCTTTAACCTACAATATAAACTAAAGTAACTCTGGCTTCATAAGTATATCATTATATATGATGCAGTGTACATAATTATTGTATACTGTATGGTGACTCTCTTCACCCAAATTAATATGTTTGAATAATTCATCATTTTGTTATCAGACATTTGTTACTGTATATGACATCTTGCTTGACAACCATATTTCTTAAAAACCATTTGCTTTTCTATTATGCATGACATGTTTATAGTACTAGCACAAGCTGCAACCTTTTAGTGCTTGTGATGAAATTAAAGACTCTTTATATATCCGAATTCAAATAATCTTTATTGCAATCAAAAAGAAAGATTGGATATTACTGTACAATATTTGTCAAAGAATAAACATCTAAAAAATGAACAACAAAAATCACAAAAACATTAGGACATTCAAGAAATATTCAAAAAGGACACAAATGAATTATACAAGACAACATAGATACAAAAGGTCAATGACAAGTTTATAATATTTACAAATAATTTAAATTTCAACACTAAAATGATTTATAAATGTAATTTATATATTTTTCAATCACATTAAAAATAACTCCGAGAAAAATACAAAAAGAATATATAAGATAAACAAGAAAATAACAAACATGAGACTTAAACACCATCTACAATTAAGCAAAATCCAATACTAGGAAACTTAACTAGCTTTTAACAAAAACATAAAATAGTATTCAGAAAAAAAATAATCTATGTTTATTTAATTCAAATTAGCTGTGATAATTGTTGTGTGTATGAGAATTACATATTCTAAATTAATAACAATAATTATTATTATTTTTCTTTGTTATAATTTTCATCGTTATTGATGTTTGTACTTTATGGTTGTTAATGTGGTAATTGTTGTTGGTAATTGTTATTGATATCATTATTGAACAAAATATAAAATTTATTTTTGAGATCTCATTGCCTTTACAATTTTTTTACCTATAGCTTCTTCATAGTAATATTGATGCTATTGAAAAGAAGTTAATTGGGTCAATGGGTCAATTGACCATTAAGTGCAAGAACTTCAAAGTGATTCAACTGGACATTCCAAATGTTGATGATTGTCTCAATGTGGTCAGTTCCATTGAGTCACTCTCTAACATTGGTAAGTTTGTTTGTACAGTTCTCATTACAATTTTTCAAGAATCAATCAAGAACCAAGAATCCTTTATTGTCATCGATCAAACAAAAGAACAATGAAATTTGTTTTGCCAGTTGCTGAAAATACACTTAAAAAAGACATTATTAAAATATGGTTCAACACAAAAATATTTTAACATTAAAACTAAAAGGTCTTACAAATAAATATAATATATTGCATGAATGTTTGATTTATGTATAAAAGTAATGACCAATAGAAGCCACTAATGTCTCCATAGACATTATTTTCCAATTAATGTTTGAATTAACTTTACAATTAACTACCATGTTATTTTACCAGCCTAGTCATAGGTGCATATTTTTAAAAATAGAATATTCTTTCTTTCTAAAACTCATGAGCAAGATATGTTTTTTGATTGACTTTTTACAGAAACTGTAAGTATGATGTATCCATTCTTCTATCGTCCGATGAGTACAGAAAAAACAGAGGATGGCTGGGAGGCATATATACCAGAGGTGGAATTCAACAAGATCGATAAAGACGTTTGGCGTCTCAGCACTGTTAACAAATCATATCAGGTAGGTAAAAATGGATATGAATAAATTAAAAATTAATAAAATTAAATAGGTGTACTAATTTAAATGACATTCTATGACACTTAGTGTAAGTATCATTCTGAGTAAGGGTTAAACCCACAAAAGTTGCTAGATTCTCAAGTAATAGCACAGTGTATTGATACTGTATTAAAACAGGAATTTGGTTCAAGAAATTTCAACTATTTTCTGGTATGAATTTCTGTTGTTATATACTGTAATAATCTGATTGCTGGATGGCATTTGTTTTTACCAGGTATGCAAATCTTATCCTCATGCTGTTATTGTCCCGAAGAACATCACAGACGAGATGTTAAAACTTTCTGCTGCTTTCAGATCTGGAGGGCGCTTTCCTGTTTTAAGTTACTACCATAAAAGCAACAAGGTACATATGGCTTGGGTTATGTTGTGTACTATATAAGTATGTTTGTACAAAATGTAGCAGTTTATATTAATCATAAACTTGAAGAATATAATGTAATATTTTGTTTGCACATTTAAATAAATTGTTAGCATTTACCAGCATGAACCAAAAATTGAAAAGAAAAAAAAAAGAAATTCCTTTTCCATTGTCCATGCAAGTTTATTGTTCATACCATTAAACATTTCTGTAGTATTTGCATAGACCCTTATATGGGCTTATAATAACTTTATGGATTTTTGTAGTAAAAAACTATAAACCAGCAAAAACTGAAATGATTTCATATGTGTCTCACTGGAGGGTAATAACGTTTTTCCTTTTAAATGAATTGATTGAATTTTTCAACATTTTTTTAGATTAAATCTCTTAAATTTTCTTGGACAAGCTTAACAATTTTTTTTTTTTTAAATTTAATGGTAGACGAGCTTAATGCGATCAAGTCAGCCATTGACAGGTCAAAGCGATAAGCGATGTAAAGATGACGAGAAACTTCTTAATGCATGTCTGGATACAAATCACCGTGGCTATATCATTGATACACGCTCATCGAACGCAGCGTTAGCAGCAAGAACAAAGGGTATGTAAGCAATAAGAAGCTTAATTCATTTATAATTTAGGGCCTAGGATATGCCAAAAGCAAATTTAAATGCTAAGTGGCAATCCCTTTTATAAGACCAACATACACACAGGATTCTCTATATAAACTAATTCTTAATTTTTGGTCATGTGAGATAATTATTGAATTGACTTAATTTTAATTTTTTTTTAAAATATAATTTGTAGGTGGAGGTTTTGAATCTGAATCAAATTATTCACAGTGGAGAAGAATCAACAAAGCTCTTGAAAAGGTTACAAATCTACAGGAAAGTTTGTCCAAGTTAATCGAAGGCAAGTGTTTCTTACTAAAACAATATTTAATTGTTTATTCATTTTTTTTTTTTGCTTTATCATGAGGCAAAAGTCCCCGTTAGCAGAAATGGTCCATAGTGAGCTGTCTGATAGTTGAGAGTGAGCTGTCAAATGGTCCAGAGGGAGCTGTTAGCAGCTCCATAAACTTAACTTTAATTGGTTTTAAGAATGTCCATTGGGAGAGAGTCCTGGCCAGCAACATATAGCCTATGGAATGTAAACAAGAAACCCATTACAACCACTCACTTCATCTCATGTTCTTCACTGGCAATAAATAATTTAAGAACCCATCACTTTCAACAAACCACCAGGATTTATAACACAGGTTTTTTTTTCCCAAAAGTCGGGTGCCATGGACTATTTCTGTTAACGGCCAAAAATGCAGCATGTTTGCATCATTTACAGAAAAAAACTTAATTTAAAAATACAGAACCACTTTTCAGCAGCCTAGGAAGAATGCCTAACTTTCACCTTTATTATGATTAACTTTCTAAGTAGAGACCAAAGCTGTTACAGACCATGATACCAATGTTTATCTTAGTTGGAAGGAAACCTGTAATACAAATATATAAATTTAAAAAGAGATTCAGCAGCCCTGGACAAATGCCTAACTTTCACCTTTATTATGAATAACTTTCTAAGTAGAGACCAAAGCTGTTACAGACCATCATACCAATGTTTATCTTAATTGAAAGGAAACCTGTAATACAAATATATAAATTTAAAAAGAGACTTATGGCAAGCTAAATTTATTTTTTTGAAAAATTGATAGCTTAGTTGTATACAGTAATGATATATTTAATTATAAATAACATTCATACGTAGGTGTGTGTTTATTGACATTATTTTAATGCAAGTTTCTTTATTTGTTGATAGCATGTCGAGATAGAGGCTGTTCAATGGATAAATGGTTGACTAGGCTCGACTCAAGTAACTGGTTAGACCATGTGAAGGAAGTACTTACAACAGCCTGCCTCACAGCACAATGTATTGATAGAGAAGGTAAATGCTTTTGTTGATACAGTATATGTATGTTGAGCCATAACTTGGTCATGATGATGATGATAAGTGGCAGCATCAGAATTATAAATAAATGATGGAGATGAAGGTTAAAATAAAAGATATGAATATAATGAGGCCAAAACAATTATGTATTTTCTGTTTGCTGTAGGCCTAGGCCTGATTCTATGATTGATGGTCAAACCATCACTTACCTTACCCCGTACATTTTGGTTTGTAAAATGTTAACTACTATAGGGCTAAAATGAATATAGTGATTGTAGACAATGTTAATGATCATTGTGATGATATAAAGTGATGTTGGTAGTAGTATTCATACAATTATGTTGATTACAGTGGTGATAGACAATGATAATGAAAGTATTGAATATCAATAATAATAATAATGATGATTTTGTTGTTATTTTTATAGGTGCTTGTGTGTTGGTGCATGGGTCAGAAGGTGTAGATTCTACTCTACAGGTGACATCATTAGCTCAAGTGATTCTAGACCCAGATTGCAGAACTATGCGAGGGTAAGCAGTGGTGGATCCAGAAATTCAAAATAGAGGGGGCCCTGGGAGAGACTTTCACAGATGGAGGGTCTGTACCACCTCAACCCCACCATGGTTGGGGCTAAGATGAGAAAATTTTTTGATTACATTTGATAGCCGGAAATGGCACTCGCAGACAAAAATTTTGAATATAATTTTGTTTCACAATTTTTTTTTAATTTAGAAGAATTTAGGAGGGCCCTGTGCTCTCTAGGCCCCCTTGAATTCGCCACTGGTAAGCTCTCTAAACTATTAAATACAAAATATGACATCATTGTCATAACACTCCCCATTCCAGTGGGGTTAAGTTTTCAGATTTACAAGAAAAACCTGAGTATCAGATACTAAGCTTTGCACCAACATGCATACACCTTAGTTAAAATATGTGTTGCAGACAACATTGCTCTGCTATGACTGTTAAATAGCGAGATTATGTGACTTTTGGAAATACTACCAAGTACTAATATCTTTGTTACAAGAATGGGGATTGGTTCAAATTTCTAAAATGGATGACATATTTGTTACCTTACATCTTTGTTACATGGATGGAGATTGGTCAAGAAAATTCTAAAATGGATGACATATTGTATTTGTTACCATAATCATCACCCCTTTGTTAGGTACTGATGATGAACTGTTTTTATGTACTGAAAGTACTGAATCATATTTGATAACCACTATTTATAACTGTTACCATTATCAGGTTCCAGGCACTGATAGAAAGAGAATGGATTCAAAGTGGGCATCCATTCACTAGACGTTGTTACAAGTCAGCTTTCAACCCGGGAAAGTTCAAGTTTGTTGGACCTGTTTTTCTTCTCTTCCTGGACTGTGTCCATCAGGTTAGTCAAAGCGTTCAATGTTTGTGGCACATGGGTTTTAGTTATCTCTTAGTTATCTATTAGACAAGGCGAGTCAAAAGACTGAGCGGTTAAGGCAGGGTCACTGCATCCTACAGCCATAACATTGGCGCTGGTTCGAACGGCACGTTCGCCTGTAGTTCTGAAACAGATCTCGGATAAGGACTATAAACCGTAGTGTACACATTTGGCTCATGTGCATAATAAAGAACCCAGTACATCTTTTGAGACGAGTAGGGGGTTACTTTGAGTTGTTGGACCGTCTCACAGCCCCTGCCATTGTCGATTACCACCTGACTGTTTGGCTCCAGTAGGAGCGTTGGTCAGTACGCATACAAGACAAGATAAATGATAGTTCTGAAAAGAATGTGTTTTTTTTTCAAGCACTCCCTCATCTTTGTTACATACAGACTTACTATTATTTGGATTTTAATACTTTCCTTATCATTTCATCTATTTTTTCAATCTCAATCTATTTTCTTTTCATTTTGCAGATCCATGAACAGTTTCCATGTTCTTTTGAATTTAGTGAGAAATTCTTGATATTTTTATTTGAACAGGCTTATGCATCTCAGTATGGTGAGTACATTTTGTATGCGTTTGCACTGCATTTTGCCTGATGTCTGGAAAAAAAAAAATTTATAATTTGATAATTCAGAAATCTTCTCTTCTAGTAGTAATGTGGTTGGATTGATATAGCGCTGTTTATCGAAATGGTCTCAAAGCGGTCAAGGTGTGGACTAGCCCATACAGTAACTTGCTTCTCCGCTATGGGTGTCTTTGTGATAGTGTATTATCTTGAAATTCACAAGGAATTAAAACAAAATAAAGATGGTACCATTCTGATGGAAGGGAATCATTTAGATAACTTATATGTTGATATAATGTAATATAATGAAAAGTTTAGGTGTTTGTTGTCATTGAATTTTCTTTATTTTAATTGATTATATTTATTAGTGATTGAATTGTTGAAAATTATTTCAGGAACATTCATGTGCAATAATGATGCAGAACGAAAGAAACTACATCTATCATTTAAAACAATGTCATTATGGTAAGGAAATACCGTTTAACTAATATAACCTTTAATTTCTGTTCATTCTCAATCAACATTAGATAAATTGATCAGAAATTATTCCGCTTTGTTAAAACAGATTTTTTCATTCTTGACTAGCTTGCCACTTACAAGATGACCTACACTATATTATGCTCTATAAAAGCTAGGGCAATTTAGATATATTATGCAAATGCCAGGAATGCGCTACTCCTATGTTACATTAAGTTAGGGCATACTGCATTAACTGTGTTACAACTTTCAAACCGGGAAACTAGCGTGCGCACAGGCCCAACGCTGGTCAATATTTTACAAGTGGATACAGTATTAGTCTTGCTTTTGTAGATGTGTCTGATACATACTAGTGTAAACCAAATTTGAATGTGAGGCTAGGGACTCGAACTGTGTTAGTTGTTTTACAAAATCCTGGTCTTTTGCATGATCTAAACCTGGTTCTGGGATTGAAAGGCAAGCTCCTAAATCTCCAATCTACTTCATCCTTTTTCCTAGTGGCAGTGCTTGTAACTTCACCTTATGATGCACTTTGGAATAAAGACATATCCAAGTGCCATGATGATGTCAACCTGAGGAAAATAAATCTACGAATAATTTTGTATTTTGTATGTAGGTCATATGTAAACAGACCAAATGTTTTGGAGACATTCCTGAATCCACTGTACCAGCCTAATAATGTGGTATTATGGCCAAGTGTTGCTCCTCAGAGCTTGGTAAGATATTTAAATAAAAAAAATCAAAAAAAAATCATCTGCACTTTTACTTAATGTCAGCTGTAATATATTGTATATAATTTATTATGCATATGAAAATAGGTGAAAATTAATTGATCAATGTGCCTTCTGGGAAGTTGATAATGTATTTACTTACTTTTAATTAGCAATTAATTTTTAATTATTTTTTAAAGATTTTCCAGATTATGTTACATCTTCAAATTAATGATGTATTATATTATTATTATTATATGAACTTGTTTCTAATTGAGTATTATGTTTACATCAGTTTTGTGGTGAATTCAATGTTGTAGTGTCTCACTCTGATATTTTTACTTTATTACTTTTTTAGACCTTATGGTCAGGTTTGTTTCAGCGATGGGAATTTGACCCTCGACCTTTTGATGATGCCCTCAATGAGATAGCAGCAATTAAGGAACAGGATAAGAATATGAAATTACATGTTCAGAGGTTACGAAGGTGAGAGTTATATGTTCTGGTTTATTTAATCCACAATTAGTTCATAAAGTTACTGCAGCACATAATTGTTGCAAATAAGCATATTAAAAATTTAAAATTAAAAAGTTTTAAAAAGGCATGGCTTTCAAGGGAAATAAAAAATTCTTTGAAATCAGAGTTACATAATTGGTAACAAAAGATTTATTATGCCTTAAATTGTATACGTAAGGTATTAATTTGATGTGTTTTCTTATTAACTAGGGAGCTAGCAGAGTTACAAAAGGAGGCTTTACAAAAAGGACTCATCAGCGAATAAGAAATGTCAGGCACTTTTGAATTGAAACAAATTGATTGTTTGGGAAATTGAATTCAAGTACAGTACTGTGATTGGTTAAAAAATATCAAGTCTGCAGTAAACAAATCCAGAATGATGATGTGGTTTTAACTGGCTGGATTTTATGCAATCACTTGCTAAAATTCACAAATATTCATCCCGAAAAGAATGAATGTTCCAGATAGTAACAAGACTTTCTCTCATGACTAAATCAACTCCACTCCCTAAGACTTGTAACGAGACTTTGTCTTATGTAAAGCATTTTGTGTGTATGTTTGTCTTGTGATGGCATTGCCACTTTGAAGAGTCATTATTCCTGATGATGACATAATTAATGTCGAAATATTGAATCCCAGCACGATGGCATGTATTTCAATACTTGGAGTATGTATTATACTTTCTTATCTGAGATTAATCAGTGGACCTTTCGGTTTAAGAGTTATTAAGTTCACAGTTTGGCATATCCTTGACCCTTGTGCCTAAAACTGCATAAATAAATACATGAGTGCAAACATCATTTTCCTCCCCTACATGATTGTTGTCATTAAGAGGTCATCATTTGGTGTTACCACAAAAAAGTACATACTGCACACTGTTTACCTCCTCCCCTAGTTAATGTTTTGTACTCTTGTGGTTATAGTGTAGATTGCCTCTTCCAAGAATAATATTGTTTTAAACAAAAAAGTATATATTGTGAATTGTAGAGAGAAGAGTAAATGTTACGAAAACCACGTTATTTTAACATGCAACGTTCTAAAGCCACAACATTGAGGGGTACAGCAGCTCCCCCAGCACCCCTCTTTCACCTGGCTTTTTCCAACATATTTAAAAACAATATTACTTAATGGAATAATTTCATTTAGATTTGAATTTTTAAAACAATAAGCATATCTATATTAATATAGAATTATTTTTACATAGAAATATACATGTTTATGTATACAGTTAATATATGAGAATTCAATATTGAATTATAAGTGAATTTATGAATTATAAGTGAATTTATAAATTATATGCAAAAGTCAATTAAAGAATTGAGTACTTATTTATTATTTAAAGTACAACTCAAGCTTGAATTCACCATGCTACCTGTTTAGATGCACTCACTGGCTGATACATGTTTGTATAACAACTGCCAGATTCAATAGATAGATTAAATAGAGTAAATCCTATATATAAATTTTTTTAGGTTTTGCCCAGTTTATTCTAGTTTATAGTACAGAAATTCATCTTTTTCACATCTCTAGTACTGTATTATCCCTGCAAGTTATATCATACTGGGACTTTACCGATTCTAGGTTTTAATTGAAGGATGAAATTGGATAATTATGTATTTCCCATAGGCAAAAACAAGCCAACCAACTAGTGTGTTGTTGCTGAAGGTTGCCTGTGCAATAGAATCAGACAGGGGGTCACCTGTGTTTTTGTTAGTGAATTCACAGGTCATATACAGTAACTTTTAAAAATGCAATTACTTCAGTTAATTCCTCATGCTGTAAATACTGTTCATTCATGGTATGCCTCTAAATATTTTATGGTGTCTGCTTTCAGCTTATGGTGCAACAAAGACATTTTTTTTTTTTTTATTCTCTTGGTAGTATATCTGTTAGTTATGAATAAAAGTAAAAAAATACTGATAAAGTGTACTGTATTCTCTTCTACTAAATATATCTGATATTTTATGACTGTTGGCATTTGAAACTTTTTTTACAGATCAATTTTGGTGCCCTACTAAATGTTCCTCAAAACCATTTTCAGCGTACCAGCATTTTAACCTGAAACACAATTTTTGTCAAAATGCCTTCAATGAATACATAAAATTTACTTGACATGAATGACTAATTTTTTCATGACACCTCACATATAGGAATAATAAATTAGTATAACACCCCCTGTACTGTACATTAAATTTCAGCCGATACTTTTCCAAAGAAATATACTGAACACATGGACACATTCATGGCAATTTGCTACCTTCATTTAAAAAGCAGAAAATTAGCCAATGCACACAAGTTCATCATTATCACAAACATTCAGTTACTTCTTACGAATTGCTTTATTATTATACATTAAATTACCAAAAGGGAAGCCATCCCTGCATGACTAATTTAAAACCACCATGTTGGAGCGGTTTTGTGCCACCATTGTAGGCTGGGGGAGGGGCGCATAATGCTTGTGCTCACTACGAACTCTAGTGCGCACCTATGGTGCTCTCTTCACTCATAAAAACAAGCGTGTACAAAAAATGCAGCATCCTGGAATTCTTCCAAAGGAATTGAATATGTGTTCTATATGGCTTTGAACCACTGTCTGGGGGTATCAATGTGTGCTTTTTGTAGGAGCCTTGTTGGCATGAAGACAAGACTAATAACATATTATCCTAGATTATTAGAAAGAATCTCTTGTGGGAAAGGTCATTGTGACTCATTTTATTCCTTATCCAGGAAATATTTACACACACAGCAGTCTCTATGGACATGTGCCATTCATTTAATATGCAATCCTTGTATTCGTATGTTTCTCATTCTAATAAATGTATAGTATAATAATAATGGATGTCTTTATTGTGTGACAATACTGTGCTGTAACAAACAAAACTCTTGAAACAAATATTTAGATGATGAATTTAATTAACAAGCAAGTTATACATTTGGGTTTTCCACATACAAATTAGAAAAAATTGTACATGATGGTATCTTTAAACTAAATAACATAAGAGCTATCCAAAATTATCCTATAACCTATAGTAAATGGCATAAAAACTATCAAAGTATACCTAAACAACTATGACAAGTAATACAGAAGTCCCAAATTGGGAGAAGCTTCTTTGGGCAGATCTAGTATAATGAATTAAATACATCTCATTGTATTTTGCTGTGCTTGGTAAGATTATCTATGGTCAGCTAACTTCAGGTAGAAAATAATACTGTACTCTGCAGGATATGTTTTGTTTCTGGTAGATTCTTGCTTGCACACAGGAGTGTAGAAAACATTGTCAGTTTCCTGTAGACTCCTATGTACATGCATCTTCATACAAGTGACATGTAGTAAAACTAACAAACTGCGTACTGTACCTTTGAAATAAATCACTTATAATCTGCCAGAAAAAAAATAAGCCACTCTCCAACAGGAGGCTCTGAAGTTTAAAAAATGTAAAATGGGAAAGGATCTCAATATTCACAATTTAAAATCAAATATATTCACAATGAAACATTTTCAATATAAAACTATTTTTAAATGTTAACACCAAAATTAAACTGATTTCAAAATCTGTTACACTACATTAGGGGCATAAAACAAACATTTCTAGCAAAGTTTTCAACCAAATTAACTTGATAATGTAAGTTCTGTACTGTAATCAGAATACAGAATTATCTTGATTAAATATTACACTCTAGAATAAGTACATTACACATGTTAATATATTCTATTTTGAATAAATATTTTGTGCTTAATCAAGAGTACTTATTACAAGGTACGTGCCGCACTAAAGCTAACCTTACATCGCCATTGCAACTGGACTCAATTCAATTGACCTCAACTAGATGGGGGTAGCATTTATATTAACTTTCGCTCGCAATCACGCAAATACTGTACAGAGAACTTGTTTCCCGGAGCACTATGTCACTTCCGACTGTAGACTATCTACAACTGGTTACCCTGCAATACACCATAAATTAATGCTAGCACACACACAGTTAATAGACCAAAATTAATCAGTTTCTATCACATGATCATTTCATTGCTTGTCAGTTGCTTTGAATCGCAGCAAAATAGAGAATGGGCAACTGAGAGCAACTGGTGACAGAAGTGCCCATGACACTTCCAATGGTGCGAATCACAGTTGCTTGCAGTTGTTGGCAAGTTGCCAAAGGTCAGTTGATGTCAGATGAGTTGAGTCAAGTCACAAGGGCAACATAAGCTTAGCTTTACACTACCAAACATGTTTTAAGCGCTGAAGTGCAATTGATCATTTACAATAATGTGTAGATATCAAAATGCTAGAAGTAGTTCTTTTTTATATACTCCTTCTTGCAATGACATTCAACTGAGTGCATCTTTTTTTAGCTAAAAATAAATTCACTTCTTAAGATAATTACAGCATAATATTCAAAGATCAAATGTGAATAAATTTAAAAACAAAGCAGGTTGTTTGTTAAAACATTTTAATACAATAAACCAACAGCACATACTGTCATAGAACAACGTAGGCTGTTACAAAACTCTTCTAATATCCAGATTCACTCAAAACAAAATATTACAAAGGATTCCAGTCCCAAAATATTCCTACAAATATACTGTTTTCTTCACACAAGCAAAATACAAACCTTGCTAAAGTTGGTAGAATTTATAAGTAGGCAGTGAAGATACGTAGCAGCATCAAAGTGAAGGACAAGCTGTGCCCTGTTACCAAGTGTACACATCCCTGCTAAGTTACAAGTCTCTTGTTTTATCTGTTTTTCTTACATGGATATTAACAAAGGGAATTTAACAAAAGGACGCTCATCTCGGGACATTGAAGATTTTATCTCTGGCATGGACATATCCTACTTTTCATTTAGTTTGTCAATTTTCATGAATCAAATTGTATTTTATAGAAACACTTAACAAGCTCATGGTCAAAAGACAGATGTAAACAGATGGTACGCATAGATTAATAATTGATGACTATAATCACTAATAGCATCGGATTGCTGATGCCACTGTAAAGATGAAAGGAGTGTACGCACATGCTATGTTCTTAGTGGAGATGAGCATCCTCTTGTTGAATTGCCTTAATATTACACAAGATGCATGCAAATCAATACAAGTCCAGTACTGTATGTGCATATCCATTGATGGAATGTAGCAGGGCACACATGCTAAATTTCCCCAGCATGGGAGGCGTGTAACATTCTATTTTGTGTGAATCGGGTACAAAATAAACAATGATCAAATCTGTTTACTTTCTTCCTGCTGTACTTGATGGTCTGTTGCTTTGTTCCTATGGAGATAAACAACAGAGGTTATTAGGTCAATTATTTTACCAACCATTTCATCTAACAGACATTTAGAATTAGCATTCTAGTAATATGTTACAATAAACTACTCAATTCACCTAAAAGTTGGTATCTAACAAGGATTTACCCTAACCCTCAATATTCTTTCCCATGTATCTCTCAACAATGAGCATTTACTAACCTTTCTATGCTTAAGATATTTCGAATTCTCACTGCTCTTTGATGTTCTGCTTCCTCTTTTATTATCATACATGTCATGCTTCCAGTTTGTTGGACTTCGCTTACCACCTCGGCCAAAATATGTAGTTCCCCGGCCTACTCCACGGCCAAAACCCCTTCTGGAAATGAATCCTCGACTGGAGTAGCTTGAACCTCGGCCAAAACCACGAAAACTAGTGCCACGCTTACTGAATTTGGAAAATCCTGTCTGGGCAGATTTGGGTTTTATCGGAGGCCCCTTATCATCAACACTATTTCTTCGTCCACGATCATCATGCTATAAAGACAATACAAATAAATGAAATTATCACAGGGTATAGCTCTAGCAATGAGTGCAAATCATGAATACCAACACGTAATAAGAAATACAGTTAAACTTGCCTAAGTCGAATGTGTCTAAGTTGAATAATTTCTAAGTCGAACTTATTTTACATGCCAAATTGTTGTGTTTTCCATTAATTAACAAGCTGTAAGTCAAATTTTATCTAAGCCAAACAATATTTAAATGGCATTTTGGATTCAACTTAGGCCAAGTTCAACTGTAGTATTTAAATACTGTAATCTAAAGAGCAACTTACCACGAAATACTGGCTACTTCTTGGTACAATTGTTGGATTCATCTTCCACTCATCCTTCTGAATCTCTTCCAATTCTTTACGGAAGTTCGGCAGATTATCTTGGGATTGGTTACCGCTAGCTAACTTCTGCAGTCTTTCACTCACAGAGTGTTTAGCAGGTGAAACCTTCTTTAAGTTCCTGGAACCAACATCTTGAGAAGATCTTGACCGTGATCTCTTATAGTTTCTGTCCTGACTCCTCTTTTCTTTTTGGGAGTGACTACTTTGGTCTTTTGGAGATCGTCGTGATTTAAGACAGTGCCTTAGATCACCAGTAGGTAAAGAAAACATAGGCGTGTCATTCCTTCCAGTCTGGTGGGTGTTTTCTACTGTATGGCGTGGCTGTAGATCTATTTGACTGTATGTGTTTTGTTGTGACTGGTAGGGATTTTGATTCAATTTGGAACCAGATATATTATCAATATCAAGCTTCGACAGAGAACTGTACTGAAAAGTTGCGGTGTTTCTATGGAATTGGTCAAGGTTAGTTATGGATTCTAGGGAATGTTTTGTATTCCTTTCTCTTGATGCCAATTCCTGAACAGACATGCCCTGTACGTACCCAGCATTGTCATTATTTTTTTTCACAGAGACAACGCGACGTTCCTCATCAAAATCTTGGGTATCGTAGTAAGACCTCTGGCGCAATTCTGGACGGTCAAACAAGGGCTTGGTTCCTTCATCCTTCCTTCGAGGAATCACTAGTTCTTCGACATTGAATTTATTACGTGGTGGTGATGGCTTGGATTGATTGATGTTGATACGGATTTCTGATGGATCAATATCGTGGTGATGTTTTCTACTAGATGATGGTGATGATGAAACATCTGGTCTGATTCCATGGGATTCATGCTTCTGGTCATCATAGTATTCTTTTTTCCTGCTTCTTGATCTTTGTGGCGATGATGAAGAAGATCTATTCCTACGATCTCTCTTATATGACTTAGTATTTCCACCATCTCTACTTCTACTCCTTCTTGCATTTCTTTTAATAAAATCTTTCCCTCCACTGCGTTTTTTAGGGGTCATAGATCGTTTCCTCTGTTGTTCTGGTGTGAAAGATCTGCCTCTAACATTAGATTTGTAGTAATCACCAGATCTTTTATCTTTTCCTGATGGTGGGTCTTTGTATCGGTTTGGAGAATCTATCCTTCTTGATGATGGTGAAAATGATCTATTGCGGTGAATTGGTGATGAATTTCTGTTCAAGGATGAGTGTTGCTGCTTCCTCTTAGAGATTGGTGAACTGGAACGTTTCCTTCCTGACTGGTCATAACCAGGTCTATTGCCAGGCCTGTATCTTGGAGATGGACTTCGACTGTATTGCTGGGGAGATCTCTTCCTACTTCTTGATCGTGATCGTGAGACAAACCTAAATGAAGATAAACAATAAGTCTCTAAGATACAAAACAAATACATATTAAGTATAGATTATTTAATTAAATTGGTCCTACAAAAAATAAAAAAGAAAACCTTACAAGATCTATCACCATCAGAGTTGATCTTTGGTGATATACAGTAGTTTCTCAAACAGGATTCAAGTGAAAATGGGTGCAACCACTCTAGAATAATAGTTAGCTCTGCTTATCAACTATCTAGCTTCATCATATTTAGCTTCATATCCTTTTTTCATTTAATTGTATTTGCACATTGTCTGAACATCGAATTAGAACTTTTCTATTAAGTGGCTGCTTCTTGGAGGCTTCTAAATATATTCCATCACTTCACTTCTATTGAATAATGATGGCATGTTTCTGACATCCACACTCCATCCCTTCCACTGGTGTCTCTCCTAACAGTAACATCCATACTGTGCATCAAAATTAATACTTCTAAATTATGATTCTGACATCCTTCACAACAATCAACAGCTCAGCCTACCATGTTGTAAATACTTTCAGCTGGTATACCGGTACATGCCATCAAGAATATAAATTCCATATAGTATTCAAAACACTGACAGTATATTGTAATCTGTATTAAATATTGAATATGTCTTGTCCAACTCTAGAGGTGATATTGTCACCTTGCTGACTACTTTTAAGGAGAGATACATAAAATAATATTCACAAACCAATGGTGTTCATTAAAGTAGCGCTAAGTTCGCTTGAGTTAATTTTTCATTTTGTCAACACCAATTGAATGAATACGCCATCATACATCTGTTTTACAAATACAATGGTGTCATATTTTGTGTCATCTACTGTATGCTCGAAGGCCTGCATTAAAGTTTACCATACTGGTCATTCATAAAATTTGGCATCATATTTACAAACCAGTAAAGCATTAAATGATGTCTACTGTCTGATGCAATGTCTGATTTCATCCATAGGCCTACTCTATGCCATCTGGTCTTGGTATCAATGGCATACAACCTTGATGCCCAATGCAAACTGTATCCTGGTCCTGATGCCTATTGTCCATGCTTGTGTTGGTGATCAATGGCGCTTGCTGATTATTCTAAATGGTACTTACTGGTCTTGATGTTCAATGGCACTTGCTAGTCTTAATGCTCTACAACATTTGCTTCTCTTCATACTACGGAACTACGGAATTACCTTGATGCATAATGGTAATTGCTGGTCTTGCTCAATAGCATATGTTAATCATTCTCAATGGCATTATCTGGTCTTGATGCTCAACAGCATTTGCAGGCATTGATGCCCATGCTACTTCATAGTCATTAGCCCAATGACACGCTGTCATTATCAATAGAATTTTCTAGTCTTGGCACTCACTGGCATTGTCTAGGTTTAGGCTTGGGGCTCAATTGCATATGCTGGTCATTTTCAATTGCATTTGCAGATCTTGATGTTCAGTGACATGATGGTCTTGGATAATTAATGGCATTTGGTGATCATTCTCCATGGTATCTGCTGATATTGAAGCTAAATGGCAGTTGCTGGTATTGATGGCGAACCTTAAAGGCATTTTTCTGGTGAAGTATATGACATTTGCTAATACTGATGCTCAGTTGCAGTTGCTGACATTAATGATTAATGTCATATGCTGGCTATACTGCACAACAACATGCAAGACTTTTTGCACAATGGCATTTGTTGTTTTTGAAGCATGATGGTCTAGGCCTGGTATTGAAGCCTAAAAGCATTCACCATTTTTAATGCATAAATTTGCTGGTAAAGATGTTTAATAGCATGTACTATTCATGAAACTCAATCATCATTTCTGGAAATCAAATGATATTAATGTTGATGACATGTGCTGGTTCAAATGCTGAATGCCATTTGAGTTTGAGTTATGAGTGCCAGCTACTCTGGTCTGTCCACAACAGGTGGCTACATGGACCAGTACACCGATGTAACCCCTACTCAATTCCAAAAATGTAATGGGTAGTTTAAAGTGCACATGAGCCAACTATGTACACTGGGCCTGTGGTTTAGGCCTATAGTCCTCAGCCGAGAAGACTTGTTCCACCACTAGAACCATAGGCGAGACTGCCACTCCAACCAGCGCCAATATTATGGCTGTAGGTTGCAGCGCCTCTGCCTTAACTGCTCAGCTTTTCAACTTGCACTTGAATCTGTGATTACATTCATTCATTTTCTTTGTTAAAAATGAATGACTTTTAATGAAGTCACTATCTCACATCATCTGATAATGGTTCCAACTTTTAATGGCATCCAATATCATGCACAGGTTGATGTGCTTTATATATTTGTCTAAGGTTATCTGAAGATTTCCATACTCAATTACAATTGGTAAACATGATCAACAGGACTCTATTAATTCAACGGAAATTAATATCTGCTGATCAGTAAACTAGAAAAGAATTATCAATGTGGTTCAGCTTGTACATTCTTGCTTTTTATTCAGGATACAGGAATATATTCTTCCCTTTCCAGGTCTTCCCAAATTTCTTGAGCCGTACATTTACTAAGTACAGTACTGCACTTATCTGCAAGAAGTTGTTCTCCTTTCTACCTAAAGTAGTATGATTTACTACTACTTACTGGTGTAACAAACACCAAATGCTGCAACTTTGTTTCCATTTGGTTTGCTTTTTAAAACACAAACTTTCTCTCATTTTAGTGGTACAGTACTCCATTAGAGTTTACCTTAAAACCAGCCAACTATTTCTGAACAAAATAAAAGAACATTATAAGAAATTATTGAAATTATTTCCTTAGACAATTATTTAGATATTATATTAAATAACGCTATTCAATTATATTGTTTTGGTAAGTATGTCTGAAGAGGTGAGTATAAATACAGAATCAACACACTACAAAATTTGCTTTCTTTTATTAAGAAAAATCTAAAAACTTATTTATTACATGAATGTTAACTAGCGCCTTTGATAAATTTTGAATTGGCACTATATATATTATTTACACAAATGGGTTTAACACGGAAATAAGTGTAAAAACACATGGCAACTATAGTGAATATTAGAAATGCTTTCTGATGTCTAACTGCTAGTGTGGAGATGCACCTTGGTTGAATCTTGATATACATCCTCAAGGTACTGTAAAATTATGGCAGCTCAACATCTCCACCTCCTAAACCATTGTAATGAGTTTAAAAAGTGTCACATTATATTTTACTAATGCCCCTGATTTTCAGCTGACCTTCTAGGATAAGGAACAGAAATCATTGTCTATACAGCAACAAAAACAATTATAAACAAAACTTTTATTAAATCAAGTCTACTTACCGTTTCTTTGACCCATACCTGTCCTTCTGAGGAGACCTTGAGCTTGAATTCCTACGGCGTTTTGGGGAATGCCACCGAGGCATCGTTGTAATCTTTAAAGTGAATGACAAACACAAAATAATTAAGATCCACAATTTGTAATGCATTAGTCTAAGCTAAAAATACTGCACTGCAATGTTACATTCCTTCAAAATGATATAATGTCCACAACACAATGTTACTCAAAATGTTCCAAAAGTGGTCCTGGGGCAAAAAATATGACAATTTAGGTGCTTTAATGGATTATTTTCTAATTGATTTTATACAGTACATACAGGTAGTCTAATATGTAGAAAATTCAATTTAATTACAAATTTCTTCTATACTGGTTGTCTGTATGCAGATTTAACTTTAATCATTGAGATTTTAGAATGTCGGCCAATACAAACTAAACATTCGGCAGTTGAGGCCAGATTAGGCTAGCATGTATAGTAATGTTACTGTAAAGAAGCAGTGAGAAGCAGAGCATGTGCACATATTTTTGGAAGCAGTGCTTCTACACCTGTGTTAAATTTGCAATTTTAACGCCATCACGTGGTTAGAAGAATAACAAATTTAGCCATTATAAAGATATGCTCCCACTTCTATTGAAAACCAACCATGCAGACATTCTAAGCAGCTGAGGGTATGACACGACAGGCCTGCTATCCTACTGTAGATACCAAAAGGCCTAAACATTGAAAAAAAACTAATATTTATTAAACTTTAGGCCCTAGACTTCTAATGAAATGTAACAATCTACCCGAAAAATTATGAAATGTAATGCTAAATAAAACAAAAATTTTTTTTTTTATAGGGTTTTACAGAACAGGGGCAGATTGCTATAAAACGGTCTTAACTGGTAGTCTTAACTTCTCGAATAAAGCCGGCTTTATCTCTTAGATGGTGTTACTAAAGCCATGTCTCTATAAAACAGTCTTCCCTAAGACCGCTTTGAGTATTGAAATGCAAACAAGCACTCCCTGGTAACGTAAGATTAAGGACGACGTCATGTGTGCTCGCGCACGTAAATGTATCGAAATGAACGTAAATAAACGTTGTAGACCTATTTTTACAGACGCCGAGAAGTGTGCGGAGTATTCGTCGTTTGATTCTCCGACTTTGACGATCTAGACATATAGGTCTTGCCATTGCACTGTTGCACTCCTCCGAGTAAGCTTTAAAATTTAAGACGGCTAACTGGTTAGACCGCGGTATAGCAATGGTCTATTATAGACCAGTAGTGACGTCACGATTATAGCCGTCTAACCGTTAAGACCGTCTAAAGACCGCTTATATAGCAATCCGCCCCTGAACAGTGAATTACATCTGCAGGGCAAAATGAAAAAGGATCACTGCATGTTTACAAATTTCAGATTAGTTTGGCATAATAGTAGCACCTAGCTCTACTATGTACTTAAAATAGAATCTAGGCTACACATTTTTCTAGTTATATAGGCACTTTAGCAGGTCTCTTCGGCTAGGCTCGCTCTGGTGCTCGCCTAGGCTAGGCCTACGCCTAGCCATATTTTATAGTGTATGACTATGAGGGTAGGCCTACCAGGCCCTAGCCTCACAATCATCATGCGATTACTACTTACCGTAAAATTACTATTACAAAACGCTCGATGATACACAGCAATGGTTTAATAAACTTAAAAGTTCACTGTTACTGAAAAATCTTCAATTTCCTGCGAAACCTAAGCCTAAATGTCTAAAGAGGAAACAACAAATTTCAGTACACACTTTAGCGTGTACAATACGCGAGGAGTCCGACGACGTAAAAGAAGCTTGACACACGCCCTCTATGTGTAGTCTGACGCGTTTCAGTCATAGAGCTATTAATTAATTATTCTTATTATATCTCTATGGTTTAGTTCACCTAAGAACGAGAACATAATCCATCCAGACTTTAACAATAATTTGCAATACAAATACAATACATTTAGGGTGAAATCAAAATAAATCTAATTAAAACAACAAAAGATCTCTATTTTTTGTTGTTTTAATTAGATTTATTTTATTTAAAACAACAAAACATCTCTATTTTTCCAGATTCTAGTGGTATCACACAGATGCCAAATGAATAAAGTAATATTTTCGAAATCAGGGTGAGGGTACGGTGTGGATTTGAAGTGTGAATGTAAAAAATCCAATGATTAGTTTTGATCAAGAAAATTGCTCAAACGTTTTCAGAATATAGGCTTAAATTTAGTGGCGTAACTAGAATATCTCAGTAGGGGGAGGGACAGTGGGTCCGTGATATTATGTGGGTGGGTGGAGGGGCCGTGGCTACGCCACTGCTTTTTTGAATATTATTATTATCATTATTATTATTATTATTATTATTATTATTATTATTATTATTATTATTATTATTATTATTATTATTATTATTATTGTTATTGTTGTTGTTGTTGTTGTTA